AGGGTTGTGAGCTGATACATAAACTATATATCAACTTCAAACAGACGATATCTAACACCTCTTTATTTTGACTAACCACAAGGAAAAAATATGATGGTAAAATATAAAAAAAAAATGGCTATTCATAAGTCCATTTTGATACGCTTTATAACCTGCTGAGATACATTATTACACACTGTTGAGTCATACTTATACGTAAATAATGTTTGTAGTTGGTGGTTGGGTTACTTTTTAGTCGCTAACCCTGATTTAGTTAAAACACGACTTTCCAGTTTTGCTGATGGAAGAAGACCTCTGAAAGGTCCTTTATTCCAAGGACAAGCTTTGTACACCTGTGCAGTAAAACTGTAGCCCAAATGCTAGCTGTTCTATAATTAGAATGAGATTTAAACCTAACAGTGATGAAGGCAAGAAACTGATCGCATGACTTTGATCATTGTGCCATGGAGGACCCAATATAGTACTGTGGTTTCTCCGTTGTTGTTTAAATCTTGTTTGCATATTTATTTTGCACACTGTCTTGCAATATAAACTATATATTTTGATATTGTATAAACCTCATGGGCTAAGTGGCCTTATGGAATTTTTAACATGAAATAAACTTATCAAAATGTTGTAAAGACCTTTGACAATGTCTTCAACATAAATGATACACAGGAGAAGGAAAGAAATAGGAAATACATACATTATTTGTCACATTTCATATGCAGGAATCTTCATAATTATACATAGTTCTTTTAAAATGCACTAAGATTTATTCAAGAACTAAGTACACAAAGATTATTTCCAGCACTAAGAGCACATAGTTAATATTTTTAATCATGATAGAAACTTGATTTCTAACGCAATGAAACATTTTAATAACTTACAGCTATTTCCTCTTTCTTTCATTAAATTCAGATTTTGCTCATAATGCCCATACAAAAAAGCGTACATATACCAGCAACAAAAACAAGTTTTTTGTCTCTTAAATGTTTTAACAATTCATGATTTCACTATTTAAAGCATTAAAACCTCGTCATGTTATCTTGTATTACATCACAAAACAATTTTTATTAGACAAAAATTACACATACAAAGTATCACATCATTCTTTCAATGTTCTTGGGTAAGATTTCGATGAAATATGTCTGTTGTGAAAGGTATGAAATAAATACTGTATTACAAGTTGAGTGTAACACTACGGGGTGCATACTATCACTTATGCAGCAATTTTGACATTTTAAGAGCTCTCCTAAACTTTATATCTTATTTAACAAGGCTCGGTAGAATAGAACTAGACTCAGGTTCCCATTATTCTATCTTCTCCTGGCTCTTTTCTTATAAAATTTTTAAAAACCAGTCAATTTGAGATTTATAAGACTTTAAAAAAACAAAATGATAATTATATCTACACAAATATAATGTACATTTTTGTATTTTTAACCCATTATTCACCAAAGTATTGACCAAGAGCACTATTGTCAGAGTTTCGTGATTTGACCATATCTTACCTAGTTATTGCCCTTTGTTTTTATGTCACCATTTGTAGGGTTGGGGGGGGGGGTGTGAAATATAGATTTACCTTCATTTTTTCATCCATCACCGCATCTGTGTATAATTTTAACATTATTATGCAATTTAAAGAGAAATATACTTCAGTGTGCAACTCCATTTCTTAAGGAATTTTAGCTTAACTGTCAAACAATTATTGTCACCAAATGCCCTAATGTAAAAATATTTGTTGTTGTTGTTTTAGATCATTTATCTTTGACAGAATTATGGGTCGTTTGGGTTTATTTCACATGTGTTATACTCTTCTCCGTGTAACACAAACATTTCTCAAAAGATTTTCTATTTATCCATAGATGTATTATCTATGTCGCTGATTTATCCTCTGTCAGGTGAGCTGCACAGTATTAATGTAGATATCTTGTAAGATGTATATATTTTAGTAGGAGTATCAATTTTAATATCTAAATTGAAATTTGATTTATTTGTATGCCTGTTGGTACAAATGCTGTATAAATGGTGGCAAAGAACTTGCCAAGACTATAATTCCAGAAGATTACTAGTTTAAGATTACTAGTTATTCCTAGAAAAAATATATAATATGCTTAACTGTGAAAATCTCAATTGCATTGGGAAATCAGCAGCTGATAAGCCTGAAAGGCTTTATGGTTATATGATTTCTTACAATAGTTTTTATTCGGGACTCAGCAAATGTTGGTTTTTCCAAGCTATTCCCTCTGGTATAAATTTTTACCTGTTATAGTTTTGCTGTGCACAGATTAGTCAACCTGTTGCTCTGTTTTTTTGAAGCTGTAACTATATAAGTTTTTTGTACCGCCAGATTAGCTGGGAAAACCCAAAATATCTTTAATTCTGGAGTATGTCTTTTTTCGTCACAAACTACAAAATAATTTTTATTCTTAAAATAATGTCATTTACAGTCCATTCATTTGAGACTGTAAATCATTTTCAAATTGTTGTTCTTTTCTTTATTGTATCTTTAATGAATTATTCCAAAAATGTGCATGATATAAGTTTCGGTTAAATTTCTCATTGCCCCAAGTGTTTCAAATTTTCATCCAATGCCTATAAAATAAAGCAAAGAACTGCATCTGCAGTCTTCCTCATCTGGTAAAGATGGGGATTTTCTGGATTACTTACAGTCTAATAGATCAAAATAATCTTTACACTGTAAACTTCTGTTTTAATACAAATAGCGCTGTATGTAAAAAAAAATATATGAAACTTTTTATAAAAACCCCAAAATTCAAATTGAAGCCAGCATGAAATATGGTTTGGATGGTATCTGACATAGAAATTATCAGTTGTGTGACCTAATAAGATAGTCATACATTTAATTGGTTATAGGTCAGCCAATGACCAATAAGAAGTTCGCATTATAAAACTTACCTCGAACTGATTTTTCAAAACTTTTGCAACCTGTTAAAAGGCAAGATTCTATTAAAGAGAAGGCAGTAATACAGGTGGGGGTCCCTGGTGGGCATGTTTGTGTTTTCTTTATCTTCTTTTAGTAGTTTTAGATAACTAAGACATCCAGATATAAATCTTCAGAGATAACTTATCTGCCCTTGTTTCTTATTATTATTTTCCTATATTTTTCATGATTTATAACTTGTTTTTCTAAGACAAAAAAATCTACAGTAAAACAGATATAGGATCTTCTTGATATAACTTGTTCGGAACTTTTTCTTGTTATTTTCTTTACGTTGATGGATGGGTATTGGGTATCAGGAATACAAAATAAATTTGAAAATATGATAATGAAATCAATGTATTCACATGTTTATCACAAGAGGCCAAGCAATTGGGTAACAGAATTATTAGGGACCCCAATATTGTAAGCGATTAGGATTTCTTTTTCATAGCATTATTGAGTATTATAATGCAAGACAGTGATACTGTGTTCACGAAGTACCAACATGTTCTTTAAACCCTAAAGCTCACGCACCCTATCACACTTTCCTCCTCGTCCCTACCTACTTTAAACGGCCACTCCCCTCGGCTTTAGTCAGGACATCAGCAGCTGGTCCGCAGGATACAAGTTTCTGTTATATTTTTCGTCTTCCCAAGTTTAACAAATCTTCTGCCAATGCCCTGTGCCTTCTACATAATGGCATGTACCGATGAAACCAATCTTTTTTTTTTTTTTTTTTTTTTTTTTTTTGATGACGTTATTAGCTGTCATTTTGATTTTATAAATCGCAAACAAGAATGTTAACTGAACCATATTTAAAATCATCTTGAGAAAAAAAGAGAAACTGTGATTTATGATATTATTTCTTTTTTGTTGATAATTAAAGGGAGGTAATGATATAATTAAAGGGAGGTAATGATTATTGCAAAAAAAATTATATAATTGTATAATAAAAGAGCCGATTTTTTTAAAATGTGTGAACATTGTAACAATAGGGTTATTGCAATTTTTATAAGTTCAACAAATTCAATAGTTTTAATGAACACTATGCATCATTAAGTAATAATGCAAAAAAAATTATGGGAAAATCTATTTTTCAAAAAAAAAAAAAAATTGAGAAAAAAAAGTAATAACTCTTAGTCGAGCCTTTTGATGTTGCAATATATGAAAGAGTATAGACTGAAAGATTTGACATAAAATAGGTTCTAATTTTCCGAGACATTAACTGTATGAAAGGAAATAATAATTATATAATTCGAAAATTGAGTCATATGTAATAAAATAGCGATAATGAGTATACAGATTATAATGTGGTATAATCTCTAAGCATGTCAAAAAAGAAAAACACCCAACCCGAAATGAACCTACTTTAAAAGAACCAATAAAGCAAGATCAATTATGATAGGTACAAATGGGCGCACTCACAATGAATTATGCACAGACGTATTATAAATTTGACCGACGTTCATGATTATGTCCTCCCTATAATATGATCTTATTATTCGTGATATACTTCATCCTCAGTTGGCTCGAACTAATTTGCACAAGCCCTCCGGATTCTAGCAAACAAAGTTCGACTTTCGTTTAATTTTGCCGAAAGTCTAGTGGAGAGTGAGAACAAAATTTTGTTTTCCCTATATATCATAAGTGAGGTAACTGGTCAACTCCAATTGAAATTTAATAGGATTTTAACCTGTTACTGCACGAAGGTGACTACTATATTTTGCATCAGGGTCTGCATGACGAGAAAAAAACATTCTTTGCTAGTAAATTTAAAAGCAATTAATCATTGTGAGAAAGATGTTAAAAGTGGCGTAGTAATATAGTATTGAAAAATAATCATGATGTAAACACATTTAAATATTATGATATTACATGATATTTTACTCCAGGTGTTTCAGTATTTCGAGAAAGTTTACTAATGAGTCTGGATTGTACGGTTGTATCGAACCTTGTTATTTTTCAAAAAATAATACCGGTAACATAAACATGTAAAAAAAGAATGTCTAAAGGAAGTATGTGTGATATTGTCAGTCTGTTTCTTTAAAGACTTTTCTTATTTGTCTCATTTCAGAGCCATATACGATTGTGTATCCACAAATCATCGATAACAAAGCTGGTATTATGGTCAACAACGTTAAGAATTACGTCCGCAGAAGAAAACGGACACTTGGAGGCGAAAACAAGCCTCTGGAAATCAGCATCAGTGGCGGAAAAGAAATGTTTGACTTGGAATTATGGGAAAATGACAAGCTCCTTGCCCCAGGATTCAAAATATATCGAAGAACGACCTTGAAAAATTCACAGTCCGATAAAGAAGTTAGGCAGGAAGACGTGTATGGTTGTCATTTTACCGGACATGTTAAAGCAAAGTCTAACAACCAGGCATCATTATCCATCTGCAATGGTCTGGTAAGTTGTAAAATTCTTTGTATCAAAAAGATTACACATGAACCTATTTATAATAACTTGCGCCATTTTTGGAAAAAATTGGAAAAATCATTTTTTACTTATATTAAAGATAATAGTTTGTTAACACAATACAGTCAAACCTACATCTGAAGACCATGGTAATGCATTTTAGACACAATGTCTTTATTTAGGTCGGCCATGTGTCACAGATTTGCCTGTATATTAAAACTGTACACTCAGCAAGTCAATTAAGTCATAATTTAAGTAAATGATTTAAAATAAAGATAAAGTACACCCTTTAATACTAATGTCATTAATCATGGCAGTCTGTAAACAGGTGGATGTACATAATTTATTATTTCACTCATCAATAACTTACGGTAATTACTGTAAATGATTTAATAATTTGTACTATACCAGTATTCATTATTATTTTTGTCACATTGAATGGTGACAGAACAATATTAAAGAGGCATTGTATTTCAAAAAGAGTTTGAAAATAAATTTGTTAAAAAATTTGATGAATTTAGCTGGTGTCTGTGTCTTGAAAAAGATTGATGTTCATAAATGGTTCAATATGTGTTTGTATGAACAGGTGTTGATATAACATTTGTATATGTATTATATGTACCAAATTATTTTAGCCTGCTATGACAATATAAGTTTCATACAGCAATGGAAATACAACCAAGATCGTTTGAACCTGATCGTTATCTTTTCTTTAAAAAACTTGGAGTCAATGTGTTTATCAGTTGGTGTTTATATGATTATGTGTTCATATAACCGGTTGTTTACATAGCTAGTTGTTAATATAAGCAGTTATTTTAATTTAGCCAGCTGTTTTTATGACCAAGTGTTAATATAACCAAGGGCAAATCAAATATTGTCACATCAGCAAATCTTAATTAATATTAAATATGTTATATTAAGGTTATATGGCATTGTGATGTCATCAATGACATCATAAAAGTGTGCCAAATTTCATTTTCAAAAATATTATGATATCTCCTCCAGGTATTGTTATTCCCCACATTTTTTTTTAAGAGCTTAGATGTGAAACGACATTTTAGATTTAAGATTTAAAGATTAACGCAAATTTAAAGATGGTAAATTTCAAGGAAGAAATTTAAACATTATTTTTTGTCAAATTAAATTTAGTTTATGTTATATAAGAGACTGAGGTGAGTGTGCACTAGGTTTGGTTGTAAGAAATTTTCTTACTACGGTTAACTTTTGCGATTTCAAACTTCCTTTAATTAAAGACGGTTTATCAAAGGTTATTAAAATTTCTCTTAAATTTGCCGTTTAATTTGCAACAAGACACAATAATTAGACCACAGTCGTCTGTAAAAACCGTTCAATGCAAAATTGAATGAAATAACTGTTCTCACAGTTGTATTAAAAAAATAATTAATGTACTACATGTCTTGGACTTAAATAAAACATTACAATGTAATAAACAATAAATATGTAAAAGGATGAAAAAAGTTGTTTCTTTAAATTGTAATTTAATGATATATATATTATTGAATTTTTGTTGAAATTTGCACTGTTTTTGCTTGATTTTAATAGGTCAATGTTATTGAAAGTGAATGAGTTATTGTGAATGGTTGTAAAGCTCTAACAGTACAAGTTTACTAATTTAAAAAACTTGAGCGGAATTAGCTTGGAAAAATCCCTTTTGGGCTGAGTTTCCCCAAAACATTGAAATTTGGGCAGGGGAAGAAAAAGAAATTCTTTCCCAAATTTAGATTTAGCAACGCCGAATATTTTAAATTGTTTGAGAAAAAAAATGCGATCGCCTCCCCGTTTAGGTTTGGGGGATAAAATAAGCAAATGCTTATAAGTGGAGTTCACTGTATACTAATCTGAACTAGTTAAGAAATGAAGTCGAACAAAAGGTCTCCCTTAATTTTTTCTTGCTTATTTCAATAAACAATTGAAAAATGAAAAAAAAAACCTTGAAAAATTATCTTTAAGAAATTAAGATGGTTTAATCGTTTATGTATGTACTGATTCATGAAAATGACTGACAAATAGAAAGTCTGGGCCATGCTTCTCCAGCAATTATAAATTGTGTCAATTTATACACTCAATTTCCAATTATACCCTCGTTTCACAGGACTGATTGACAAGTTCATTAATGAAATACTATTCATTACCGTTTTACCGATAAAGAATTAAATAAACACATAATAATTTATTTTTTTGTTAACAAAATCCCATAATAGATTTGATAATCCATCAATGTCGATAAAAGTCAGGTGTTCTATAGATACAGGTTTCCACGAGGAGGTCCACGATTTCATAGACGTGAGTATATATTGTTCCCCTACGTAGAAGACTTCTTTTAATGATAATTGACAATTTCGGAGATTATCAAATAAAAAGTTCTTACGTCTGTGTCTCAGTGTTGACATGTCATTGACAAAACTTTCAATTTTATTGCGCCGTCGGTTGGCACGGCACGCGCTTCTCTCGTTTTTATGCATTATCATTGTTTTGTGTCAAGTAAAAAATTCTTTAAACAAATCCAATAAGTTTAGATAAAGCACCTTTTTCATGTAATTGGCCCCAACTGATTAGCATATGAAAAATGAAAACTTTAATATAGACTGGTTCAGAATTGTTTGTTGTTTTTTTTTACATATTAAAATTTATCATTTTGTCATGTCTAATTAAGACCATTTTAAAGAAAAAATGGGTAAGGTGATCTCTGATCAAATGTATTCCTTAAATCTTGTTAATGTTTGAAATACCAACATGTTAAATTGCTTATTTGCTGGCATTATCATGAAAAAACATGTTAAATTTAATCATTTATAATGTGCTTGATTTATAAGTCAAGGTCACTTATAATAAGGAAAACTTAATATAGAAAGAGACTAGTAATTATTGTGTGAGCATGTTTTGATGTTGTAGAAATTGATTTGATTGATGAAATTAATTACCTTGATATAATTATAAACTATGCAAACAATCTGAAAACTCCTTTTATTCTCACAGCTTTGTCTCGAGATTTTTAAATGTGTGAAAGTTAAAAAAATTTAAAATGAAAATGACCCCCTCATAGCTTCTCCTCAGTTTATCCCCTTAATTTTTTGCCGCATAATTATTGACTTACAAAATTTGTTACAGTCTTACTTTAATTATAATAAAATTGACCCCCACTTTGCTGTTCTTATGTACTAATTTGTAAAATTCAATAACAGATCCATTAATTTTTTTTTCCAGACCTCTTAGTGTGTTTGACAGTCTCATCGCCAATGTTCAATGCAAAATAATTCTTACATTCTAATGCTTTTAACTTCTTTATCTTTTAATGATTACAATGGGAAAAAAATTAATCGAGTAAACATTGCTATTGTCAGCATTTGAGACTTAAATATGTCAAAGATTTAAGGCTGGTGGAAACTTTGGAGAAGAAACCTTAAAAGCTATGCTTAATTTTGAAATTGGTTTTAATGAAACTAGCTTGATTATGATGACTTCGATTAAGCCTTAACTAAGGCTTACTGGATTTATGGTTTGAGTTTGACTTGAACCCATGTTCCTTAAATGAACTTGTCCATCTTTCAATCGGGACAAAACCATTCATCATTTTTAGGGAAAAAATAAGTTCATACTGACAACAGTGCAAACCATCATCAGATGACATCAACGTCCCGGCTTATATTGGTCTGCACTGATCGCATGCATATAATCTGTTGCCAACAGTTCTTATTCTGATAAGAGGCAAGAAGTTACAAACTGCTGCACAATTTGAACTAATGATTCTATACAAACCGTACCTTTTAAATTGTGATGTTAACATTATACACAGACTGGTGTCCTATAACCTTAAAAACAGATGTGTGGTCTTCAATGCGTGGATATTATTTTGTCTTTTTAATTCATCAAATGCTCCCCTGCTTTGTTAAACTAGTTCAACCAAGTTATCAGATTCATTATCATTCTCCGTTAACTGTTCTACATGGAAGGTTTCAACAATTAAATATTCGTCTTTATCATTATCAATTTTAATAAATTTACCATTGTTTTTTATATAATCGAGGGTTGACCGCAAAACTGCAGTAATTTATGTAACATAAAGAAGGGCTTACAACAGTTTTGCGATCAACCCTCCTTGTTTGTTGTTTCTGAATAACTTTAGTAAAAAAAAACACATGTAGTTGTTATGGAAACTTAGAAAAAGTATGTAAACTTAATTTATTAGTCTGTTCAAATGTTCTGCTAGATGTGTCCGAATAGATTGATATGCAAGCGTTTCATCAGTAGATCTTCTATTTAGTTTTCTTAAGTTTTGTATCATTTGTAATTGATTTAAAATATTACATCACATGTTTATTATTGATGGTTTAATTGTTCAATTTCTTTAATTAAAATTATAGTCTGCCATTTGTGCAACTGAAATTTCTTGAGATCTGAAAAATTGAAAATGAAGGGAACCAGTCTAAAATTATTTAAATTTGATTGGTCCTTGTTTGGATACAAATAACCAATGAAAAAGCTTGTAATGTTTTAATACTTTCAAACAGTGAGATTTTGTTTTTATTTTCATGATTGTGAACTGAATAATTTGCCTCATGCTGCGATGGCATGATGCAGTAAATTTTTACTTTCCTCAATACTTGCTATAGCTTATATCATCTTGCTCGGAAGATGGATGTTATGTAACAATATTAAAATGTAAAGTTGTATTATGTCTGGCAATATAAATGACAGATTAACTAATTTCTTACAACATTTCCGTCTGTCTGACAAACAACATCTCTTCCTTTAATGACCCGCTGATATATAAGTGAGCAAAGTGTAAAGTGTACAATATTACCGTCTTAAAGAGGCTTGCTCAACCCATTTGCATAAATTATGTTTTATGCAAGGAAGCTATCCTGCTAGCTTACGGAAAGTCGGTCGTTCTACTCAGGTGCCTGTTCTTGCCTGAAATGATGCACGGATGGGCGACCTTAGGTCTTCCTTCACCAGTAAAGCTGAAACAT